ACCACATACCGATGAACTACACACTTCAAAACGCTCAGCTTTATGTAACAAGGACTTCACCTCAGTAAACATGGAAATGGTCCATAAGCAAACGCAAGGGTGTTCCACCTAACTAATACTCAGGAATATGCTGGTGAAGACTGAGCTAAGATTCGACTATACACCCAAGGGAAACGTGGAAATTGCATTCAGTGATACAATCAAGGGGACTCTCATGGCCATGTATGGGTGACCCACCCCGTGACCCAGGACTCTGCTCCTTGGCCTAGAACAAGAAGAAGTAATTCCACGTATGTGTGCGTGGAGAGCCACACTGCCGAAAACAGTAACCCGAATGTTGATGGAGAAAAAAAGGATTAAACAATATTTGACGTAGTCACACAGTGGTATACTATATTAAACAACCATGGAAATGAACCAACTGCAGCCACACACAGCAACACGACAACATCTCAAAAACATAACATTCCAAGAAGAAACCAGATCCTAAAGAAAATATCCTGCATGTAAGAGGTTCAAAATGGAGTAAAACAAAGCATCAGAATTTAAGGAAACATACTTCAGGAGTAAAGTTATTTTGAAACTGCAGGGAAGGGGTGGCTATGAAAGTCAAGGTGATGCTTACCTCTGAGAGGAGGGAGGGAATGACCACAGCGCAGGGTGGAACAGAGCTTCATTGCTGGTCTATTTCTGACCTGGGGTATTGGGCCGCTGCTCCAGGATGAACCGCTGGGCTGTCCTTTTAGCAGGCCCTCTACTGAGTGGATGTGGTATTTCACAATAAAACAGTTTAAATAACTTGCATGCATCAGCACTTCATTAACGGGAATAAATTATAATAACAGCACCCCTGTCCCAGGAACAGCCACTTATCTTCCCAAATAGCAGGTACTGTGTTCTAATGACACTGTGAAGTCAGGGACAGGAAGGGGCAGTGCTTCCTGCAGCCCGCCTTGACCCACTAGAGACACAGGGACCACACAGGGTACACCCCATAGATAGGAGTCTTGTTAAGAGGTGGGTCTGGCTACGTGTGGGACATGATGAGTACTGGGTGAGAAGAGCTGCAGGAAAATCACATCACCATTGCCTTCGAGCTTGTCCATCTCTCCGTGAACTATGAGGAGCCCTCGGGTAGTTCTGTGCCCAACTCCTTTCTATCCCCAGCAAGTCGCTGAACTCAACTATGTGAAATAATTAAACCTCAAGCTACGTAAACACTGTTTTGTTTCCCAGTGTTTTAAAAGGGAAGGAATACGGTGAATCTCACCTCCCCTGTTTTATAGATGGGAAAACTGAGGCTCAGAAAGGGGAAAGTGACTCATTTCAGTTCACAGAGGAAAGCAGTGGTGAAATCCACAATTCCCAGTGCTTGAAATATTTTTTGGTGGGGGCTGTTAGGAAGAATATTAGGAAGCTGACAAAGATCCACTTTTCAACAGTTTCATTTTCTGCAAATTATCATATGGCTGTGTTTCACACCAACAAGAAGAGTCTCGCCCAGGACCCACAGTACCATTTCTGGAGAAACAAGGGGGACAGTAAAGCTGGAGACCTGGAGGCACAGGTGGACCTGGCAGGAACTCAGGAATCGTTTTTCCAGGGATGGGCAGCTTGTGAGCACCAAGCTGTGTGCCACCTCTATGCCAGGCTGGCTAGCAACTCCACCAGTACACGGTGCCAAATCTGGAGCCCTCATGACCTGGGAAAATGCATGCTTTTGTTTTCATAAACAGCTCTGCTGAAGTACACCATACAGTCTGTGAAATTCAACCAGTGTAGGTATACAGTTAGATGGATTTTAGTAAATTTATAGTTGCGCAACCACAACCACAGTCCAGCTCTAAAATATTCCCCCAGAAAGTACTCTCCCATTTGCAATCACTCCCTACTTCTATCCCTGGCCCAAGCAACCACTGATGTGTTCTATTTCTGTGGTTTTTGCCTTTTTGGAAATTTCATACAAATGAACTCTAACAATGTATAGTTTTCTGTGTCTGGCTTTTTTCACTTAGCTTGTTGCTTTTAAAGTTTATCTATATTAGAGCATACATCTGTTTGTCATCTCCTTTTCTGGCTGAGTAGTAGTTCACTGAAAGGATGTACCACATTTTGTCTGTCCCTTTACCAGCTGACAAACCAATGTGTTTCCCTTTGGGGCCGTCATAGAGAATGCTGCTATGAGCATTCACAAAGGAGTTGTTGGGTGGATATATACTTTCCTTTCACTTAAGTAGATATTTAGGAGTAGAATCACTAGGTTGTAGGGTAAGTCTTTTAAGAAACTGCCACCTTGTTACGAAAACACAGAAGTTACAAATTACCACCTCCAGGGTTTAGCACAGTGGTCAAGAGCATAGATTCTGGAGCCAGACCCCGACTCCAAATTATAATTGCCTTTGGATAGATGACTTTGTGCCTCAGTTTCCTCGTCGGTGAAAGAGAATAATAAGTGGGGCTGTTGAGAAGATAGAGCATTAATTCACACAAAGGACTCAGAACACTGCTGCCTCACATCACCTCTACAGTCTTAGTAACTTTGTAGGCAGTTCAGCAGTAGCCTCATGGGAGAAGCAGTGCCAGTTATGAAGACACAGGGCTGGGGATTTAGCTCATTGGTGCCACAGCCTGCCTTGCAAGTGCAAGGACCTGAGTTCAATCCCCAGTGCAAATAAATAAATAAATAAAGGTTATGAAGACACCGACAGGCAGGGCTGTCGTGGATCAATCCAGGAACAGCTGTGTAGCTTCAGACAATCACATGCCCTCTCTGAGCCTCCTCTGGATGGTGGACCCAGTGACACAGTGGAGGGTAAGTGTTGCCCTGTAAACCACACAATGGCAGGCAGATGCGATGGGCTCCTGCTACTATCATGATGCTTTGCTTATAGGGCTCACTAGAGGCTTTGGGGGGCCTAAAGCCCTTTCTATCTGCAAAGCTTCTCTAACTGAATACTAGAATGGTTAGCAGCAAGGATTTTGGAGTCAGACTACCTGGCTCAAATCATACCCCTGGCCCTCAGAAGGCTTTGACATGAGACCTCAGTTTGCTCATCTGAAAAACGGTGATAGAAAAAGTCCTCGGTCTCCACCTCCTGGAATGATGGGAAGGGTTGGATGAATGAAACAGGTGCATACTTCACCTGACCATGCAAAGTATTCTGTAAGGGTTAGCCCTATCATGCTGCCCACAAACTTTGGATGGCTCACGTTTCCAGAAACTCACGTCAGATTCCTAAAGGGGAAGTGAATACCAAGAGTTGTAAATGGCACTCCTGGGGTTTCCTGTACCTCCCTTTTTATGGGATGGGAACAGGACTTCCTCTGGGCTATAAAGAGCCTGGAGCTAACATCAGGGGACCAAGCTACAAACTCAGAAGAGAGAGAAACAATGAACTTTCTCTCCCCAGACTTCTTCCTTTTGAGGCAACAGGGGAGGCAGCAAAGTTCACAGAAGACCACAGAACCTGAAGCTGCCTGTGAGGCTGAGTCGGCCATGCCTGAGATATCATACGCACAACTGCAGCTTTGGGCCATGTTGCTGAGAGGCCAACACTATGCCCCAGCTGCCCTTTGACCTGCAAGAAGGACCGGGCTGGACACTCTAGCAGGAAAAGCTTTCACTTCATTTGGGTCTTCCCAGAAGACAAGCCTGGGAGGTCCCAGACTTCACCAAGCATCCAAAGAGTTAACTAAGGCCACCCACTCAATGTCCAGCTTCCTTTGGGGACCGGTGTCTGTTCCCCAGTCTCCCCACCCCCTTCTTCGATTGAGACTGTGTACTCTTAAACCCAAAAGGGGTCTGTGGGAGGCTTGTGCTCAGAGAGCAGGATTCTCCTGCAAGAGTACATGGCTGAGCCAGAACAGGAGCCTGGAGCCCAGGGTTCAAGTTTTAGCTGTCAGGCTAGCTACTTTCAGAGCCTCTCCCAACTTTAGAATGATATCCTGCACTGCCTTCCACACATAGTTACTGCAAGGATCAAGTGGTAATTTCTATCACTTACTCTGTGCCTATTATGTGCTAGGAGCATGGAAAGAAAATTATTTCTGATCTCTCTTTACTCTTCACAGGATCCGAAGGAGGTTAAGATAGCCTAATTAGTCTCCCTTTTCAGAGGAGGAAACTGAGACACAGAGAGGTGTAATCCTTTGTCCAAATTTACATAGCCCAGTCAAATTCATAATCCAAGTTTAGGCCTTAATAGAGACCTATTTTAACTCAGACTCAGCCATTCATCCAGGAGCCTCGGAGTCCTGGTGGGGAAACTGAGGCCCAGAGAATAGAATAGAAGAGACTGGATTCGGTGGCTCTGGGCCTACAACTCTTTCTATCACCCATGGTGCTACTGCCCACAATGGATATGGTCCCCTGCATAACATTAAATTAAGCACAACTGTGGTTCAGTTCTGTTATTTCTTTTTTTGGTTTTTTTGAGACAGGGTCTCACTATGTAGTAGTCTCACTATGTAGAAATTCACTATGTAGCCCCCAGGCTGGTCTCGAACTCACAGCGATCCTCCTGCCTCAGCCTCCCGAGTGCTGGGATTACAGGCGTGCGCCACCGCCCAGCTCCAGTTCTACTATTTCTAGTGTGCCAAGTGGGCAGGTGTCCCTGCTGGTGGTCACGCTTCAGCGCCTTAGCACCTCGAGGACGCCCGACCTGCCCTTATAGGGAGCCAGCCCGCGCGCACAACATGAGCGCTGGGCAGGGTGCGCTGAGGTCGTCGCTGCTGTCACTGTGCTTCCAAAGTCCCCCTCTGCCCACAACTGGAAGCGCCGCGCCCAGCTCAGACACCGCATCTACCCCGGGAACCCATTCGCAGCTGGAAGCCCTGCACTGCCCCGAGGAAGTCTCGGGAAGGACCGCCGAGCGCACTGCGCGGCGAGGACTCCCTTTTATGTCCAGGAATGAGCAGCACATCGCAGCTGTGCCCGCCACCCAAACCAACTTCCCCAGGGCGCGGAGGCTGCCGTGCTACCCTCAGGCCGGGTCACTTACCTGTCGAGGCGTGCGTCCCGGTGACGGTGGACAGGAGCGCGGAGATGGACAGCAGCAACCGCAGGCGCCAGTTGCTCCTGCAAGAAGCGGTAGAGGGCAAGCAGGTGAGGCGGGAGTACGGACGGGTCGGAGGGGGCCGGGGCGAGGGGAAGCGGGTCCCACCTTGGCGCCATCGCGCGGGCCTGCGGAGCCCTCG